CGAATAATTTTCGATTGGTCTGATAATAAAAATTTTGATTATATATATTTAACTACATTTATCCGATTGATACCGCGTTTGATATTGTTTTAAAATTTGTCGTCATTGTCGCAAAATTTTCATTGTTCCATTAAAATTACTCGCATACCCCTATAAATATATCTTAAAATGATTAATTTATTTATTTCTCACAATTTGTCATCGGTCGCTAGCGGCAGCCTTGATAACGAGATGAATATGACAGTATATAAGTACGTAGGAACGAGTGAAACAATAACAGAAGCGAGAGAGAAATAGTATGCCAAATTGCAAGAAAGACTCGGTTTTCGAGTCTTCGTTGCTCGTTTTATTCCTGTCTCGCTCACTCTTACTGCCATTTCGCTTCCTCTTATTATCTTCTCGCTTGTTCATATACTCCCGCGTACACTATATATATATATATATATATATATATATATTTATATTTATATATATGTCATTTTATTGGTACATATACATATATATAAGTGTATAAAACGACCGTATGTTCATGTTAGATTCATTAATTATTATGAATCTCAAAATAAAGTACGAAACATTATTGCGTATGATCTTTTTTTCATTTTGATAATATTTATTATTGGAGTAATATACATATATATATTTTATTAAACTACTTTTATTGAAATTATTAAAACATTAAATTTTATGTGAAATAAAATAAGCATTTTAATTTTATATATATTATACACGCATATACATATATATATTGCTTCATAATATATGCTAAAGTGAAAAAAGATCACGCGCAGTTAATAACATGTAATACAAATTAATAAATGTATATGTTTCGTACTTTAGAGATCCACAATTATGGATCTAGCACGGACATGAACCAATCGGTCGTTTTACCGTGGCAGTGAAAAGTGGATCCGGCCATCCGGCAGTACCGCGCCGTAGTACCGCAGGCCGTAAAATGGATCCAGTTAGCGCCACTTTATGGCGGGGAAAAAACGTCCCCTAAAAAAGGGCAGCGTGACCCCCCTCAGTCTTCTCTCTGGTGATATATACAAAAAGATCCTAAGGGACAGCGTAAAAGAAAACACGACGAGTACCAAAAAGATTTAAAAAATAAACGAGAAATCAAAAGAAAAAATTATTTTAAAAATGCTGCCCGTGAAAGAAATCGCCGACGAAAATTTAGACAAAATCATCCCGACTCAAAAAAAATGTACGACAAAAAGTACAACGCAAAACGTAGCGAGAAATCTATCGTACAAAGGTCGAAGACGCTGGAGAGATTGAAGGAAAAGTTCAATATTGTCCGATCTTGGCAAAAATGTTTTAACTGTCCAAAACGCTCAGAGTTCTTATTCGACGGATGGCGAGGAAAATTAATAAACCGGCGGTGTGTGCTCGATTGGAAGCCGAACAAATATTCAAGTGCATAATAGCCAAAAAAACCGTACGTCAATGCAGCAAGAAAAGTATTTTCGTATTTGAAAAATGCTACTGAAGCTGCCCTATTGCGATTCAATGAATGTAAGAGATTAAAATATCCAAAAAGCGATCGAATTAGAGCAGTTTGTGGCTCATCCAAACATACTTCGTCTTCCGAAGCATACTTTTGTGATACTGCTTACAAGCAAGGGAAAAAGTTTAAGTTTGAGCAACCTCTCATAATGGGATAATCCTCTCCTTATGCAATTCTTATTAGATAACAATAGTAAAAAGGCAAAAACATGGCACTGTGACGAGAAAAAATGCCTCATAAATTATATTTCCGTGAAAAAGTATGTGAAATTTTTCGAACTGTTTGAAGGAGCTACTTTAAAAAAAATAATGAATTCTAAATTCATGGAGCGGCTTAAAAATTGTTCCGTTTCACATACGAGTAGTAGATTGGGATCCTCCGGAATGCTATGCGATTCCGAATCTTTGCAAATCATACTTTGCAACGATAAGCACTTTATTGCCTCATTTTCTTCGCGTGAGGAATATTCGAAGAAATGTCTACAAATTAATAGAAAATTATCAAAAGTTTCATTATCTGTTTTCAGCTTTGAGATTCGTCAATATGGATAAATTGCTTGAAATTTCCAACGATGCAAAGCTCAAAGCAAGATTTTATAAAAAAATTCGACTGATGTTAGTTTGGACGAGGAAAAAATTTTGTCGCGCAATTACGAAGCGTTCAAAGTTATGAAAAAGCGAGTGTTGGATACGCCACGTTTCCCTTGTATCTCTTGCGAAAAACTATGTGTGAGTAGTGACGTTTCTGTGCTCAAGAAGTTGAGAAAAACAGTAGAAGGATCTTTTTGAAAAAATCTGATGGCTTACGTAACAGAACGCAATAGCGATACTGGCTTCATTTGTAAGCTATGTTTGGGCAAATTCCGGAAAGGCATGTTGCCTTCTACTTGCGTTTTGAATAATCTTGCCGTAAAACCATTACCAGACGTTTTGTCGGATTTCAATGATTACGAAAAAATGTTAATCAAGAGAATGAGCAACTTCCAAGTAGTGCAAACAATGGACACTGTTTCGAACAAACATATGCCACACAGACAAATGATCCGTAAAATAAAAGGTAGAACATTTCATTTGCCTCTGTCTTTACAAGAAACATTGGATAAGGTATGTCCTCCGGAAGATCCTATAAATTTGAATCACGAGTTGCACATCCTCGTTCGAGGTATACCCAAAAAGTCTAAAGTCGTTTGGGAAAATTTGATGGATATTAATAAAGTGTATAAGGCTTTACAATGGTTGAAAGACAATAATCCTCACTACTCGGAAATTCATCTTCCAGCGTCGTCTGATGATCTATTGAATGATAAGTTGCAAGAAACAGAATATCCGATCGTCGATGACGAAGACGATAATGACGAAATAGACGAGGTGGTTGAGGACACTGTACAGCACAATAAAGATAATAATAATGACCAAACTGTTTTGAAACGTAAGTCTTTTCTGACGCAAATCACCGAAGATGCAGGTATTAATGATCAGTACACAATATAATGCATGCGAAAAGTATGGTAAACAAATCTGCACTCAAACATTATCAAATGTTGAAAATTGATGTTCCAGTAAATAAACGTTATAAATATCTGGACGTCATGTGTTTCCCCGATTTATATCCCGAGGGTGTCAATGGACAACGAGAAGATAGAAGTTTTGCATTGCCGAACTATTTATTTTCATCAGAACGCGATTGATGTCGAAACACAGTAGATTCAGATTGAATTTGCAGTATCTGTTCTTCCTTTTCAATGATGCGAACGACCGACAATTGAAAAACGATATTTATTATACGATGATGGTTGCTAACGCGCGAGAGAGATACACTGTCGGTAGATACTTGAACGAATTGAAAGACGAACAATTGGAATCGAATTTAACGAGTATTTTCGTAAAACTGAGAAATACGGATCAGTTTTGGCGACAACCGTCCAATAATGTGAAATGCATGATTCTGCATTACGGGCCAGCGACGTGGTTTTTGACTTTGAGTCCTAGTGAATGGAAATGGTCCGATTTGGGTGAATATTTACGAGATATGAATCCTGATAAAGAGAAGTTGAGCATCAGCGAACTAATCGTATACGACCCTGTAAGCACGTCTAGATTCATGTGTATAAAATTCAAAGCCATGATTGATTTCATTTGTTCGGCCGATAATCCAATAGGAGAAGTCATTCACTATTTTTGGTGACTAGAATATCAACTAGATATATCCAACACATGCATTGCATGATTTGAATAAGAGATGCACCTGTGCTAGGAAAATCATCGGATGAGGAAGTTGTTACGTTCATTCGAAAATACGTGACGTGCGAAATTCCAGATGAAAATGTTTCGCCAACGTTGTACGAAACGGTTAAAAGTGATCAGAATCATAAACACAACTCGTATTGCATGCGCACAAAGAAAACTGAAAAGAATATTTACAGAAAGTGTCGATTCGATTTTCCTCGGCCAGTTACGGAAAATTTCGTTATAAGAGACGTTGTCACTTCGATAATGGGTAGAAAAAATTTACGCAGTAAGAGCAGGTTGTACGATCTTCCTCGCAAGAAATCGGAAAGGTTTATCAATGATTATAATCCGGCTATCAAATTGGCCTGGGAGGGAAATATAGACATACAATTTGTTGGAGAAAAATCAGAATTTTTAAACTCGTATTTAACCAAATACACGACAAAGTCGGAAAAATGCAACATAGACTTTGCAATGATAGAATCCAATAAGCCCTTGGCATCGAAACTGTGGAATGTTGCGATGCGTTTTTCGAATCACAGAGAATGCGGTGCTTTAGAAGCTGCGGATACACTATTAGGGAATCCCTTGTATGGTACGGACAATGATACCATTGTCAAATGGATCGACGTTAATGAAGTGAGAAACAGAAAAGTTAAAACATTTAAGGAAATTAAAGCTCTCGATGAAAATTCTACGAATATCTATTGTCCGTCGTTCATCGATGATCACTATCCAAACAGATCTAAAGAACTAGAATCATTGAATTTGTACGATTTTGCCAGATTCTGGGAAATTACGAAATAGATGCCAAAAAGTGATAAAGTTGAATGTTACAAACTGACATCGGATTTATTTTTAATAAAACGAAAAAAGTGTTATTTAATAAACCATTATCGATTTAATGTAAAAACTGAACCCGAAAAGTACTTTTACTTGCTGCTTCTTCTGTTCAAACCATGGAGAGATTTGAGTAAACTCAAAGGTGCGTACGAGACTTACACGGATGCCTTTAAGAATTCAGAGTCTGCATTGACGAAGGCAATGAAATATCACGAAAGATTCGAAGAAATACAGAAAGCTTTTGAGGACGTTACTGAATTGATCGAAAAGCGCGAAATGATCTGAAAACAGCAGATGGAGACAAATCCGATGACGATAAACTGGATTGCAATCCGATAGAAGCTGACGGCGCGATAAAAGATCTGGAAGATTTTGGCAAGGTTGACGCCCCAAGGTTAATTTATTTATCGCAAATGATGTCGCGATTAAACGAAGACCAGAAAAGAGTCTTCGACAGGGTATGCCAAGTTTTACAAAATAAAAATCAGATTCTGCGATTGTACGTAAGTGGCGAGGGTGGTACAGGGAAAAGTTTTCTTATTGAAACGATCAAACATTGGATCACAATAAATTTGGAAAAAACGACTGCGATATCTGCTTCCACGGTTATCGCAGCATTCAATATCGATGGCTTGACAATCCATAGAATGTTGCAGCTACTTGTCACTCATGAATCTACGTCAAAATACGTGCACTTGTCAGACATGGTTTTGAAAACTTTGAGAGACAAATTGAAGAATGTCGAACTATTTATAATCGATGAAGTATCCATGATTTCGAACGTGACACTTATGTTTATCAATCTACGATTATGTGAAATCTTTGATTCGACAGATACGGATGATGGTTTCTTTGGCAGAAAACACATTCTCTTGTTTGGAGACTTGTTGCAGCTTCCTCCTGTAAAAGGACAACCTCCGTTCGTTAAAATGTCTCGATCAGAGATTCAGAAGTATTTAGGTACCATGGATGGACCTGACTTGTGGAGATTGTTCGATTACGACGAACTCTTGATATATGAATATGCGACAAAGATGCGACGACACATATCGCGATATACTTTCTAGAATACGAATAGGTCTGCTAACGGATTCTGACATCAATGTTCTTGAATCGAGAAACATAAATTTCAAAGAAGGTAGTTGCAACGAAAGATTGAATGAACTTTGCACCTATATGAATCAATTACCGATTGATACGATATGTTTATTACCCATGTGTTATTTGTGCAAGGTTTTGAACACGGCAATGCTCAATAGAGTCGACGGCGATGAAATTCTACTAATAGCGGAAGATGATGTTGACTGTGCTCCAACAATGAAAAAAAAAGTACAAAAAACCTTCAAAAAGAAAGATGATAAAGTTTCAGAAACAGCTGGCATTGAAAGAGTAATAGCGATTAAAATTGGCGTTAAAGTGATGATTCGACGAAACATTGACGTAACTCTGGGACTTGTCAATGGAACGATAGGCAATGTAGTTGCGGTTAATCGTGCTGCTGACGGAAATCGTATTTATTCCATCAAATTGGCTACTTCGGATAACAAAGAATTTATAATAACGAAAGTAGATATTAAATTCGAGGTACTCCACAAAATAGTTGTACATCGGAAACAATTTCCATTGTCCCTCAGTTATGGAATAACTATACACAAGAATCAAGGAATTACATGTAAGAATGCAATTCTGGGAACGACTGCATTCAGTGATGGGCAAGCCTACGTAGGTTTGTCAAGAGTGAGTACATTGAAGGGCCTACATTTGATAAACTTCAATCCGGCATCGGTTAAAGCACACTCGGGAGCCATTGCAGAATATAATCGACTGAGATCTTTGTTCAAATCTCAGCTACCACAAATCGATTCGTCTGAGAAAAAGGCTGTAAAAGTTCACGAACTTCGATGGGCCATACCTAATTATATTGATGATGTACAGAATTATGGTTGCGAGGAACCAGAAAGTGTAGTTACGTGGAAAATATACGGCCTTCGCAATGACGATAATGTTTCGTGTTACGCAAATGTAATATTGCAGTGTGCGTTTCATTGCGTGCGTATCAGGTAACAAATACTGAAAAATAAAACATCGAACACATTGATTGATGCTACATGCGCGTATGCTGAGCGTAAATGTTGCAACGTTCAAGCGGTTAGAAGATCTGTCGGAGAACGCTTCGAAGAACGAACACAACAGATGCTTCGGAATTTTTCACGGCTCTAATGTCGACCTATTCTGAAATAAATGATGTATTGGAACTCGAATTGCAGCACGTAACATGTTGCTCGAATGCCAAATGTAATTACACGGTAGCTACGCTGGAAAAGAGTTGTTTGCTAATATTACCTATACAGTCGACATTAAAAAGGAAAAAAGGTGTCACGCTACAAACTTTGATTGATTCGGAATTTTCGAAATGGGAAATGATAAACGGCAATTGTAACGAATGTAAGGGTACTGTTCTGAAAAAGAAAACCGTAATTGAATCGACTTTATCTTAGTAATACAAATCAATTTATACACTTTTATGAACGGTGTTTCCAAAAAAATTACAACAATCAGATCAACGCCGTACCGACGAGTAATATCACGATTAATAAAAAAAAGTACAAGGTAATAAGTGCTATATTTCACGAAGACGAAGAAATGAATCGTGGTCACTATACGTGTATGTTGAGAGCAGACAAAAAATCGGAATGGTATTACTCTAATGACATGACAGTTATCAAGAAAAAATAGCCCAAAGGAGCACAAAGGGCGTACATGTTATTTTTGGAGCAGATTAAGTAAATTTGGAAATAACTGCATTTAATGACACTTTCTTTGAATGAAACGGAATTCCTTTACAATATGTTTACGCGCACCTTAATAAATCATTGAAATTGATAATTAAATTTTATTTTTCAGATCCAAAAAATTATAAAAATTAATCGACTACTCTGGCGCTGTATAAAGGCTGCCGTAAGCGCAGAATTAAAAGATCGGCTACTCTGGCGCTGTATAAAGGCTACCGTAAGCGCTGCATTAAAATATCGGCTTCAATAAAATTCTGGATTGTTCTAGGCGCCCAATTAGAAAAATCATTTTTGATCCTATTACGCACCCAAACAAAAATTATTCGCTATTATAATGTTTTCGGCTGCAATAGCGCTGAATTCTGGTTTGCCCTAGGCGCTTAATTAGAAAAATCTGTGTGATACTTGCATCACAAGAAGGCTGCCCCAAGCGCCATATATCTGTACTTTAAAAAGTAGGTGATATCCCATAAAAAGTCATAAATGAAAAGATCAGGCCATGTTCAAAAAGAAACCCTAAAAAATTTAAACCCTCAAAAATTTAAATGATTATCTAAATTTAATAATATATATTACCATGAAAAGTAACTGATATATTATTCAAGGTGTCAGTTCAAAATAAACATATATATAATAAAGTGTATTTTCAAAAAAAGGTCCGCAAAAATTTAAATAATTATCTAAATTTAATAATATATTACCATCAAAAGTAACTGATATATTAATCAAGATGCCAGTTCAAAATGAACATACATAAAGTGTATCAAAAAGAGACTCTCAAAAATTTAAATGATTATCTAAATTTAATAATATATATTACCATGAAAAGTAACTGATATATTATTCAAGGTGTCAGTTCAAAATAAACATACATATAATATAAAGTGTATATCAATAAAACTGATTAAAAATTGACTTTAGAAAGTAAGTAATATGTTATTTCTTACAAGGAAAGGGTCGGAAGTGTCCCCCTCCGATTTTAATGAGCTTTGAATATGTTGTAGTCTAGATCAAAATAGGAGACACGTATTTTTTTATAAGTGCTGAGTCGGCCGTTAAGGGGGTGAAACACCTTCTTGAAAAAATCGATTTTTTCATTTCTCAGCGGATACCGTCGAAGCGATAAGAGATATAAACAAAAGTTTCAAATAAAAGTTTTATGGTCTTTAATGTACTTCAAAATCATGTAATCAGATTTGTCGAAAATGTCATATTTTTCGAAATCCCCCCCCTCCCTTTTAATGTTTGAAAATTTTTAAATTTGTCTCATAACAAAACTTATAGCTCATTTAACGACAAATTCAATCATATATAATAAAGTTGTATTCCGAAGTCACATTTTTCAGAAATAAATTAAAAATATCCCTATACACTACTATACGCCCGCTTTATCCGCCTTATGACGCTCGTTATTCACAGCGACAGTCATTTTTCTTCGCAAACTCACAGAGCAACCATAAATTAGCAATAAATAATTTATGAGAATATATTTTTATAAATTATAGAAATTATATTTATAAATATAATTATAAATTATATAATAATTATAATTATAATATATGTCTATATTATGTGACAATAAATATACATATAATTTATATGGAAAAGTAATGTTTTTAATGCATGAAAAATAAAACTAGTCGGACAAGGAAAATTATTGATCAGATGCCGATGTAATAGATTCAATTCTATGAATAAACAGATGTCGCATTCGCGAAATGAGTTGGTGCAATATATTATTTTATTAACAACTGCGTGCAGTGGAACACATATTACTATTAAAGCGTCTATCGAATATACGCGAGCGCGATAGTAAATATATTTATATATATAAGAAAATAATTAAAAGGATTATAACTTATAAAGCGAGCGAAAAAATGCGTCGCGATAAGAAAGTCAGCTGCCCGAAGTGCTGATACAGCCAGTATCACACGGCCAAGTCATCAAACAGAGAAGAAATCACTCTCGAAATAGCGCTGAATTGCAATAAAATGCGAGGAAGTCTTCGGACTTCCTTCGCTTGCATTTTGATCACGCCACTTTAGAAATAACCAATGATTTTATTTGGTCATGCCACCGCGCGATCCTCCTCCGATAATCGTTCAGAACCGGAGGCGTTAAAAGCCACCGCCTAGAAGCGGCGGACAGTCACAAATCAGTTATCAAATAATTAACCAAGTGCTCGAGTTAATTAACAAGACTAGCCGTTATCCTGGAAAAAAAAAAAAAAAAAAAACAATTTGCCCCACGCACACAACAATACAGTATGTATGTACTTTTCGATTTTTAAAACTTTTATAGTTTTTTGCTTTTACTTACACTTCATCAAAATTGCTGTTTATCTGTTTTGTTGTTTTTAATGTATTTAAATTATAATTAATATTTTATTACTTTATTTAAGTTATGTGATAAAAACTGTTCTATTTTTTTCATTGAAACTCGAAACGTAACAAATTATTAATACGCATTAAATAATAAAATATTTTTTGTTTGCTAATAAGTATTTTTTTGCTAATATTTTATAAAACAAATATACATAATGTTAATTAAATTTTTTTAGTAATGTTTAATCCAAGAAATTAGCAGTACTGCTATACACTGCACTGTAATGACTGGGGAATTCCCAGAAAGTCCTGTTACAACAGATGAGAAATGAAACAAAAGACATGATGGAAAATATGCTTCGATCAATGTATGAAGAAAGCGTTTGAAGTTTATGAAGCATCATCAATTAGATTTTCAAAACGAATTTGATTATACCTGAAGTAGAACCTGTAATTGATGAAGAAAGAGAAGAAGACACATATTTTGTAAAAAGAAATTGAATGTGTTGCGGATTCTGTAACCAATAGAATTAAAAGAAATGCAGTAGAGTTATGGAGAAGTGGAACAAAAAAGTCAAGAACTCTTTGCATCTATAAGAAATAGATTTCGGAAAGTCACGTCATTTACGTCAATTAAGAAGATGGGAGCAGCAAGTAAATCAAGGTGGCAACAGATTTGATAAACTGAAAGAAATTCAACATATACGTTAAATAAATTCCAATGAAGGTATTGAAAAGGGAATAATTATTCATGACATTGATATTGCGCGATGGGCTCTTCGCGCACAGAAGGAAGTAAATCTACTTGGGTTTACAGCATCATTATTTCATGGGTAAAAAGGTTTAAGCTTGCACATAATATCGTATCCTAGAAAAATTACAAAAATTTATAACAAAAAAAAATTTTAGCGTCAGACAAAGATTTAGAAGCACGAAAGCAAGTCATTTATCGAAAATGTTAAATCTTCTATTATTACAATATGGAATTGAAAATTTGTATATAATTCGGACCAAAGTGGATTTCAATTAGAATTTCATTCCGGTCGTTCACTATTCACCTATTGGTATTAAAAAAAAGTAGAGCGCATAGTACAATCCATATCAGCAACTACACATAGTTATACTATACAACCTATTGTTTCAGCTGATGGTAGATTATTATCGCCTCTGTTTTTTGTTTTAAAAGAACCTACTGGAACATTTGGTCAATAGTAAAAAGAAACAATGTTTTAAAGATAATAATATTCTTTGTTCATGGCATCAAAATCTGGAAATTAACATCGCATCATTTTGAGATCTGGATAAAAAGAAGTGTTTTTAT